CTCTCATTTGAAGGGTCTTGCATTGGGTTGGTGAACTCAGGAGGAAAGGCTCTGCGCACTTCAAGGAAATACCCACCCATTGACATGGGAAGAATTGAAGAGGCTGATGAGGTTCAAGTATGTGCCAAAAGGATACATCAAGCTTTTCAATGTCGATCCAAGAAGACCAATTCTTAGGACAAAAGTTGGCATTTGTGGTGATTTGGGACTTGACCTTGTCCTCGATGATGGGTACAATCTAAACTACATCACTCTAGAGGTGGGTGTCCTACTTGGGGCTACCTCGACTACACAGGACTTATCCATACACCATGGAGGGATGTGAGGTTACCAAAGGGGTAAAAGTCTCTTTCACACATGGTAAATACCATGAGGAGGTTTGGTGTGATATAATGCCCATGTGTCACTTAAGTTTGAGAGCCAATTGGTTTACTGAACATAGGGTCCCAAATGAGTAGAACGGGTACATGTGTGTTGTGGATCATTGGGGAACACATCTATTTCCTCCTCCTAAGGTGAAAAGTGAGAGACGAAAGATTGAGAGGAGTAAGGGAAAGCAAGGTGGCAACCTTAGAGTGGAAAAAAAAGAGGTTGAGAGGAGTGAAGTGAGAGGGTTGCCACAAACTCAATCTAACATTTCTGTTCATCCTTCACTTGGTAGGGATTCTTATGTAGGTACAAACGTAATGAATGGAGGAACACAAGTTCCAGACAAAGTGCCTATAGTCGAAGGTGTGATGGATGCACTAATGGGATGTTCCAACATCCAAGGTAAAAAAGATCTTTCTTGCGGGCGTCAAGGTACAATAGCTAATCTTAACACTTTTACCATTGCAAATGAACAAAGTGTGAATGTTAGCTTGTCTTTATGTGAGCCTATTGATTCTTTACCATGTGTTGATAACGTGCTTGTAGAGAATCTGGATACACTAGTTGATCCTATTGATGACCGAATTGATTCTTGTAGTAAGATCGATTTGTGTCCACCTAGTGTTGACACTTATGCTTTGAATGCTAGCTCATTATTTTGTATTGATTGTGTTGATCAACCAGTTTGTAAGTGTAGTTCACTGGTTGAGGGTCCTTGTAATGTGATTAAGGAACTTCAAGTTGGTGGCACTAATGAGAATGTTCATCATCTTATTCGGAGTGACTCTTTGAGCATATCTATTGTGGAAGATCCAATTTCTTGCTTTGCTCATAGAGATCATGTGCTTGAAAATGCTTCGAAAACTGATATGTGTCTTTCTGAGGGTGAACTTGCATGTTTTAACTCTTTCCTAGTGGTGGATCATTCCCTCTTTAAGTACAATATCCAATTTGAAGATGATGAAATCACTCCTAGTGATGTACCTAGTGGTGTGAATCTTGAGAGCAATATAGTTCTTGATAGCTATACTTGTGATAGTAACCCACTATGGTGTGAGGCTTTCCCTCCCAAAGATGGAAATATCTTCTTGGAAGATGAGAGTACTCTTGTGGGGAAGGAATGTGATAAGGAGGAAGGTGGTATGTGTTTTTCCATTACTTCTTCTTCTTGGTGTGTTTCACTCCTTGATAGTATGACCAATGCTTTTGAGCCTATTGGTAAGTCATACACATGAAAACACCCTAGATGAGGTTGATTTGCGAGACACATTTCTCTATTACTTGTTTACATCTGATGAAGCTCATGCTGTTGAGTGGAGTATATTGTTTGAAGGAAAGAGTGCCAACCTGATAAATGGATGTGCACTTGATCCTAGTACATGGCTTGCCTTTCCATTTGATCCCAGTAGTGAGCTGAATTGTAGCCTTTGTGTGGGAATGTTTGGTCGAAATGGCAAGCATATGGGGGTTGACATTGTTCATTCTTTTCCCTATGCAGTAAAGCCCTTTTTGAGGTTTTACCATCCACTTGAAGAGCCTATATTGTGTGTGTGGAAGCATAACTTCCTAGACCCTTTTTCTATTTCTTACCCTGAGCATGATCTTGTTGAATGTGCATCTCATGGGGGTAGGAGATATTTTCCAAGAGAAGGTAAAGTTTGTACCTTCCTTTACCATCTCTTTGCATTTGATGAGATCCCTAGTTGGATCAGAAGTGGATTACATGTGGATCAGGTTATCCTTGAGGTCTATACTTGTTGGTATGACCCTGATCTGTGGACTTTCTATCCTTTTGATCCTGGTGAATGCATGAAGGTATTTCAACGGGTGGAAGTATCATCTTTTAAGTGGTATTGCCATGTTGTTGAGAAGAATAATCATTGTCCTTGTTCTCCATTTGTGGGCTTGATAGCCATGACAATAGAGAATGTTTGGTTGTTTCTTGAGTTTGAGTCTCCTCGGTTAAATGTTTTAAGTGCTAACCTTTGTACTGTCCATCATACTAAGAGGATAAGCTTTTTTCTATCAATATGTGATTTTACAAGGTTTGGATTCAAGGACTCAATTTTACCTACTTGACATAAGGGAGGCCTTGTGCTTTGATGGGATGTGAAACCAATGTGGGTTTACATATGAATTTGTTTAAGTGTATTGGTTCCTCAGCTCTACCCCTTTGTCAATGTTTCTTACTTAGCCAAATATTTATTGCTTTGATAGGTTACAAACCCTTGGTTAATATTTGTGATGCTTGGTTATATGTTAAGCTTGTGCATCCTTGGCATAGTGATGAAATTATTATTGCTAACGCTAACCCTCATGCCATGAAGATTTTGTTCTTGTTTGCTCCCCCTAGGGTTTAGCAAGGAATGGATTCGAGGACGAATCCTTTTCAAGAAGGGGAGAATGATGTAAAATGGATTACATCAAGCCTATCCATTCACAAACTTCAATGCTTTAATAGAATGTTCACAAAGATGGAGGCTGCTTGGCATGTATGGATGCCAAAGAGGGAGTCCCATGCCTTGTATGGGAATATATGCACCTTGTAGGAGCTCCCAGTTGGGCAACACCATGCTTGGATGATAGCTTGGAGCGTGGGAGGCCTAACGAAGCGAGGAGGAGCAAGTGAAGAATGTGCTACATTCGACGAGCTGAAGGACACTTCGGCGACACGCCAAAAGCCTTTGGCGAGTGTTCCAAGATTGCCAACTGGCCCAAGGAGCTACGAAGGAAAAATATGCTCATTAGGCGAGCTAAAGACCATTGGCGAACCGCCAAGTGGATTGGGCGATGGTCCCCAAACCTCCCAAAGTTCCAGTAATTCCCCAACGAAGGCAAGGAACAAGATTCCTTGCTGAGTACATTGGGCGCATTGCCGAGCCATTAGGCGAGCCCGACTAGGCTCGCCTATTGGCCCATTTCGGGTTACTTTTGGGCCCATCTATGTAATAATGTCTAATACTATAAATAGGTGTCTTAGAGTTCATTTTAGGTTAGACTATTTAGAATATTGATGAATGATAAATTTAACTCCTTGTGTGAGTGTTGAAAGCTTGGTAAGCTTTTGTTGAATATTGTTTAGAAACGAGGGTTGCTTGGGATATCGATTCCCTTGAGGTCTTCGTAAGAGGTAGATGCTATTGTAGGATTAACGGATCAAGGTCATTGGGTTTAATATACCCTTTGATTGCTTTTTGTTTCCTCTTTGTGTGTCTATCTATCTATCTGGATTAGGTGCTTGTTTAGGGATTGTAATTGGAGGTTTTAGGATTTAATACATCCTTTAGTATTGAGAAAGTTAAAAAGAAAGCAAAATGTAAAAGTTAGTAAGGCACATTTTCCAGAAGTTAGTTATAGAGTTAGTTAGAAGATTAGGTAAGTTAGTTACAAAGGTTTATATAAATACATATGCTTATTCATTGTAAAATATACTTCAAAGATTATATACTATCTTCATCTTCTACAATTCTATTATCAATCTTGTTTAGTAGTTAATTACTACATGGTATCAGAGCAGTAATTGGAATCTGAAGAATTCATCTGCGTATTACTTCTGAAGATCTGGAGATCATAATTTGTCATTTGTTTAAGACTTCTGAAGATCTGAAGGTCAAAATCTGACTTAAATTGTTCATTGTTTTTCCGCAATTCAACTCAAAGAAGAAGAAAGATTGTTAACATGACTCAAGGAGTATATGCACAAACAACTGGAGACAGCAGTACTGATGGAAATCCAAGCTCTGTTCCAGCAATGTCTATGAGTCAAAGGGTCGATTACAGTCATCCATTGTTCTTGAGTCTTGCTGATATCAGTGGGTTAAATTTGATCTCGTTTCAACTTATTGGAATTGAGAATTATGCTTTGTGAAGTAGGTCGATTAAATTGGCATTACTCGGAAGAAACAAGATTGGTTTGGTAGATGGATCTTGTAGAAAGGAAAGTGTAAGTGCAGAATTAAGAGGCCAGTGGGAGAGGGTGAATGCTATAGTCCTCTCGTGGCTCCTGAATTAAGTATCAAAAAGTCTTTTAGGATGAGTGGCCTTTGCTTCATCAGCTCAAGGGGTATGGAATGATCTAAAAAAAAGGTTTGATCAGTTAGATGGGTCAAGAACCTTTAGCCTGCATAAAGAAATTGCAACCTTGCAACAGGGTACTGATTCTGTGTCAGTATATTTTACTAAACTTAAAACTTGTGGGATGAATTTGAGGCGTTATTGCCACCTCCTGGATGTGATTGTGAAAAGGCAAGAAGTTTTGTTGATCATTTAAATCGACAGAAATTGTATCAGTTCTTAATGGGATTGAATGAGTCATTTGGATAGGCAAGAAGTCAAATTTTGTTAATGAGTCCTGTTCCTACAGTGAATCAAGCTTATGCAATGGTTATAAATGATGAGTGTCAGAAGATGACTTCTAGCAGGACAAGTGTAGGGTTAAGTTCTGTGACTGATTCTGGTGTAGATCCTATGGTGATGTATTAGAGAACAAGTGGAATCTCCAGTACTCAAGGATTGAACAAGTTCAAGAAGAACTTTCCTGTTGTATGTGAGTTTTGCAGATGCAAAGGGCATACTAAGGATCAGTGTTACAAATTGATTGGATACCTTCTGATTTCAAATCCAAAAGAAAAATGAGTACTAATACAGAAAGTGGAGCTTACATGATTGGGACTGATGTTAACAGTACAAGAAAGAATTGCTATGAGGATGGTTCAGATGGATCAACCTTCAACTATGGAAGTAACACAAATGTTCCTGTGAAAAATCATATAAGTAACATAGGTGATTGTTCAAATCAACTGCAGGGGTGTAGTTTCACCAAAGATCAGTATGATCAAATTCTGCACATGTTAAAGCAGAATCAAGGATGGGGACAAAAATCAGAGGATACAAATACAGTACATGATCTTCAGGCTAATACTGTAAGTAAAACTTTGTTAGTTTCTGAAAATAATAAGGTCTGGATTATAGATACAGGGGCATCTAATCATATGGATATAGATACAGGGGAATCTAATCATATGGATATGCTTACAAAACATTCTGTTGTTAAGGTTAAGGATCCAAAACCAGTTTATCTACCTACTGGTGAAGTGTCTTATGTGTCTAATACTGGAGTGTGTCACATATCTCCAAGGAGTGTGATTACTAATGTCTATCATATTCCAGAGTTCAAGTACAATTTACTCTTAGTAAGCAAGTTGACTAAAAATTTAAATTGCTCAGTCACTTTCTTCCCTCATTTCTGTGTATTTCAGGATCTTTACACTGGATCACTCACTTGTTGCATCTGAAAAGAAGTTAGAAGTTCAACAATTGTCAGAAAAAGAAGTGGATGTATGGCACAGGAGGTTAGGACACGGAGCATCACATGTGTTAAGTAAAGTATTTCCTGTTAATTCAGAAATAATAAAAAAAGTGTTGAATGAATGTACTAATTGTCCTAGTGCAAAACAGACCAGAACTGTGTTTCCTATTAGTTGCATTAAAAGTAGTCAAGTTTTTGATTTGATTCATTTGGATTTATGGGGACCATACAAACAGCCTACATTTGATGGTAATAGATTTTTCCTTACAATAGTTGATGATTTCTCAAGAATGACATGGGTTTTTTTGTTAAAAAATAAGTCAGATGTGTGTGTAGCTTTAGGTTATTTTCTGAAATTTGTTAAAACACAGTATGACAAAGAGGTAAGAAAGGTTAGATTTGATAATGGAACTGAATTCATGTGCTGTTTTGTTTAAAGAAAGAGGGATAGTACATCAAAGATCCTGTCCTTATACACCTCAGCAGAATGGGGTGGCTGAAAGAAAGCATAGACACCTCTTGGAAGTAACTAGGGCTCTAAGGTTCCAGGGGCATATTCCTTTAAAATATTGGGGTCAGTATGTGCTTGCAACTGTCTACCTGATAAATAGGATGCCTAGCAGAGTTCTGGGAGGTAAATCTCCATATGAGAAAATGTATGGAAGCAAGCCAATGTTGTCTCATCTTAGAGTATTAGGTTGCTTATGTTATGTTAAGGTTCTAACTGAGAGTGATAAGTTAGCATCAAGGACAAAGGCAGCAGTACATATGGGATATTCAGAAACTCAGAAGGGTTATATTTTGTTAGATTTGACATCAAGTAATTTCTTTGTGAGTAGAGATCTGGTATTCAAAGAGACAGTGTTCCCTTTCATGTCTGCCTTAGGTAAAAGAGAAGAGGGTACATTTGTGAGTAGTATGGATGGTACTATGATAAATGGAGAATGGAAGTTATTGTGTGACAACATGATGAACAAACAGAATAGTGAGAATAGAATATGTGCTTACAAGAAGAGCAATGTAGTCAGGAGTTGAACAGAAACTTGGATGGCAACATTGAGCAAGAAACAGTGAAAGAAACAGTTCAAGATAATGAGTCTGTTTCTACTGACTCTCAAACAGTGGTGAATAGAAGGTCTACACGAGGAGTACATCCACCAGTTTGGATGAAAGATTTTGTGTCACTAAATATGGGCAAACAGGTGAAGTATCCTATAGCTGACAGTGTTGCATACAATCACTTGTCTAAATCTTACCAGGAGTTTGTTGCTGCAACTTCTATTCTAACTGAACCTACATCCTTTGCTGAAGCCAGCAAAGATCCTAAGTGGATTAAAGCAATGCAAGCTGAAATACAGGCTTTACAAGATAACAAAACTTGGAAACTGGTTGATTTGCCAAAAGGGAAGTCTGCTATTGGATACAGATGGATTTATAAGATTAAAACAAGTCTAATGGAGAAGTAGAAAGGTTTAAAGCAAGATTGGTGGCCAAAGGATATAGCCAAAAGGAAGATATAGATTACAAAGAAACTTTTTCCCTGTGGTAAAAATGGTCACAGTGAGAGCTATTTTAGCCTTAGCTGTGTCCAAGTGTTGGCATATACATCAAATGGATGTATATAATGCTTTTTTGAATGGTGATTTAGAGGATGAAATATACATGGCTGTGCCTCAAGGTTTTTCCAGCCAGGGGGAGAATGAGTATAAGGTGTGTAGACTGGAAAAATCATTGTATGGGCTTAAACAAGCACCAAGACAATGGAATCATAAATTTGCAGCAGTTCTACAGAAGCTGGATTTCAATCAAAGTCAGCATGATCCCTCTTTATTTACAAGAAGGACTACTGAAGGAACTACAATAATATTAGTGTATGTTGACGATATTTTGGTAACAGGAAGTAGTTTAAAGCTAGTAGAGGAAACAAAAAGGTCCTTACAACTAAGTTTTAAAATGAAGGATCTAGGAGAGTTGAAATATTTTCTTGGAATATAATTTGTAAGATCAAACAGTGGAATAGTTATGCATCAAAGGAAATATGCACTTCAACTCATTTCAGAAATTGGTTTATCAGGAGCAAAGACTGCTGGAACACCTATGGATGTAAATATGAAGCTGACATCAAGGCAGTATGATGAACAAACTAGACAAAATCAGGAGGAACCTCTAACAGATCAAGTTACTTATCAAAAGTTGATTGGGAAGTTGCTATATCTAAACATGACAAGGCCTGACATTTCTTTTAGTGTACAAACATTAAGTCAATTCCTACATCAACCAAAAAAATCTCATATGGATGCAGCACTTAGAGTTGTCAAATACATCAAAAGGCAACCAGGTCAAGGTATATTACTATCCAATAATTGTAGTAGTGAAGTTACAGCTTTCTGTGATGCAGATTGGGCTGCATGCCCCCTTACCAGGAAGTCTGTAACTGGATATGTGATTAAACTTGGAGAGTATTTGATCTCTTGGAAAGCTAAGAAGCAAACCATTGTGTCAAGAAGCTCAGCTGAAGCTGAGTATAGAAGCTTAGCTTCAACTGTGACAGAGTTAGTTTGGTTGGTAGGTATGCTGAAAGAATTGAAGGCTGGGGTACACTTATCAGTTCAAATATATAGTGATAGCAAGTCTGCTATTCAATTAGCCTCTAATCCAGTTTATCATGAGCGTACTAAACACATTGAGGTGGACTGTCATTTTATTAGGGAGAAACTTCAAAATGGACTGATCAATATTGTCTATGTTTCAACACAACATCAGCCTGTAGATTTGCTAACTAAAGGCCCCAACAAGCCACAACATGAATATCTATTGTCCAAGTTAGGTGTCTTAAACATATTTGCACCACCTAGCTTGAGGGGGAGTATTGAGAAAGTTAAAAAGAAAGCAAAATGTAAAAGTTAGTAAGGCACATTTTCCAGAAGTTATATATAGAGTTAGTTAGAAGATTAGGTAAGTTAGTTACAAAGGTGTATATAAATACATATGCTTATTCATTGTAAAATATACTTCAAAGATTATATACTATCTTCATCTTCTACAATTCTATTATCAATCTTGTTTAGTAGTTAATTACTACATTTAGTTGCCAATTGTTCCTCTTCTTGTATCTCTTCTTCTATCTTTCTTTTGTTTTCGTTGTTGTTTGTGATTCTCCTTGTGAGAATTACATCAAAGCAATGGTACTAGCTTCTCTTGAAGCTCATTCAATATATAAAGAGAAATGATTGATAAATCAAAATTCAACGAGGTGACAAAGCAAGTGGCTTAGTTGTGATATGGTTACCTTGTGTAGATTCGTGTGGAAATTTAACAAAGTGCCGAAGAAGTCTTTATTGGATATGATTTCATAGCATCGATCTGTAAGAATTGCAAATGTCTTGAGTGAAATTACTCTAAGCTCTTTGAGCTATTTCCATGACAGATCTGGGTAAAGGTTGGCGATGATCATAACATCATCACTCGAATGGGACATTCTTGAAGCTGGCTCAATGTTTGACCTCAACGCTTGATGATTTCAGGCAATGGGCACCTCAGCTCGTTTAAGCTTTCCTTTTTTAGGGATTTGGGGTCTTTCCCAATTTGTCTTGTCTATTTGTTTTATTTCCTTTTCCTTTTAATTTTGTTTTGGGCTTGTTTTGAGCCTTTTGGCTAGTAGAAACTTTTGGTCTACTATCTCACAATGTAGAACTCTCTTGTTTTATATATTTGATGGTTTTGCCATCTTTTAAAAAAAATATTAATAATAATACAAAGGTTCAAGTTAAGTGATTTTTCTGATACAAAAGTCTAAGTTGAGTGATTTTATTGATACAAAACAAAATTTAATGTCTTTGCTAGATAAATTTTTAAAGTTGAGTAACCTTTTAAGATATTAACTCTTTATATTCATTACCGAAATAAGAATATAACCAGTAGTTTTTTTTTCTATGGATATAAGACATTTCTAAATTTTTTTCCTAGTATGCATGTTTATCCTTTTCCTCTACTACAAATTTGTCTCTCTAAGTAATTATATTTCTAGTTAATTGAGTTAGTGGGTTTCTAATGAATTAAATATATCATTATCTCTTGGCAAGGATATCAAGTGCTCTTTAATAAGTTGTTTTTCTAATTAGAATATCTGGGAGGAATATGTTTTGCCCTCCGAGAACGAGGTGTCTTTCTTAACCTTTGAATTTTTAGCTTGTTTAGGAGTTTAATTGTGTCCTTGTCATCGTCTAGAACTTGACTAGATTCGAGATCGTCCTTCCTCTATTTCAACTTTCTCTTGATTCATTTTTTTGCTTATCAAGTTGTGGGAATCTGGTAGCTCGTCCTAGCTTGTTTATTGCATTGTTGTCAACATGAGTGATTTAAATTAACTATGCTATTATCAAAGTCTCATTGTGATAAGTTTCTCTTTCCCTGTAATAAGCATACATCATATCGGTTTCGGTCTCTCAAGTAGCACCTTCAACTAATTGATTTCTCCAAAGAACCTTCACGGATACAATTTCTTTGTTTCTCAACTTCCAAATTTGCCGATCTAAAGTCTCAACGGGAATCTCTTCATAGGAAAGATTCTCCTTAACTTCTAAACCTTCTATGGGCACAATCTATGTCGAATATTCAACACACTTTTTCAACAACGAGACATGATTTACCGGATGTACTAATGTTAAATCATTTGGTAATTCAAGTTCAAAGGCAACCTTGCCAATATGCCTCAAAATCTTATATGGGCCAACATAACGGGGACTAAGCTTCCCTTTCTTTCCAAATCTCATGACACCCTTCATGGGTGGAATTTTCAAGTAGACACAATCATCAACATTAAACTTAAGTTCTCTTCTTCTAACATCGGCATAGGACTTTTGTTGATTTTGAGTCATTTTCAACCTTTTGCAAATAAGTCAAACCTTTTCCATATCCTCATGCACCAACTCGAGCCCTATCAAAGCGACCTCACCAACTTCAAATCAGCCAATAAGAGACCTACACCTCCTACCATAATGAGCCTCAAACGGTGCCATCCCAATTCTAGAATGATAGCTATTATTATAAGCAAATTTAATCAATGTCAAATGGTCATCCCAATTACCCTTGAAATCAATCTCACAAGCTCTCAACATATTTTTCAAAGTCTAAATGGTATGTTCGTTTTTTCCATTGGTCTGAGGATGAAAAGTCGTGCTAAGTTTCACTTGAGTACGAAGACCTTTCTGAAACGACTTGCAAAATTGAGATGTAAATTGAGTACCTCCATCGGAGATAATGAGAATGGCACTCAATGCAACCTTACCATTTTCCGAATATAAATCTTAGTGTACTCCTCCAGGGAAAATGAAGTCTTAACGAGAAGAAAGTGAGCATATTTCATCATTCTGTTCACAACAACCCAAATCGAATCAAATTATCGACGAGTGGGGGGTAAATCCGCAATAAAGTCCATATTCAAATCTTCTCACTTCCATGTAGAAATACAAAAAATTTGAGCGAAACCACCCATTTTTGTATGCTCAACTTTCACTTGTTGATAATTTGGACACTTAGCCTCAAATTCCATAATATCCTTCTTCATCCCATTCCACCAATAGACTTCCTGTAAATCAGGTACATTTTGGTGGCTCCCGGGTGAATAGAATACCAAGAACAATGAGCTTCTGCCATAATCTGATTTCACAACTCACGTACATTTGAAACACATAACCAACCTTGATACAAAACAAAGTTCAAAATTCTTAAAGTTGAAAGACATTTTAGGATATTAACTCTTTATCTTCATTACAGAAATAAGAATATAACCAATGATTTTTCTTTTCTATGGATAATATAGGTCCTTTCTATTATTTTTTTCCTAGTATGCATGTTTACCCTTTTCCCGTGGCTTCAAATTTCTCTCTCTAAGTAATTATATTTCTAGTTAATTGAGTTGGTGGGTTTATAGTGAACTAAATATATCAAGTGCTCTTTAATAAGTTGTCTTTCTAATTCGAATAACTGAGAGGAATATGTTTTGTGTCCCCCCCCCCCCCCCCCGAGAACGGGCTGTCTTTCTTAGCCTTTGAATTTTTATCATGATTAGGAGTTTAATTGTGTCCTTGTCATCGTCTAAAACTTGACTAGATTCGAGATCATCCTCCCTCTATTTCAGTTTTCTCTTTATTCCTTTTTCTGCTTATCAAGTTGTGGGAATCCGGTAACTCGTCCTAGCGTGTTTGTTGTTTTGTTGTCAACATGAGTGATTTAAATTAACTATGCTATTATCAAAGTCTCACTGTGATAAGTTTCTCTTTCCTTGTAATAAGCATACATCATATTGGCTTCCGCTTCCCAAGTAACACCTCAACTAATTGATTTCACTAAAGAACCTCCACATATGCAATTTCTTTGTTTCTCAACTTCCGAATTTATCTATCTAAAATCTCAACCGGAATCTCTTCATAGGAAAGATTCTCCTTAACTTCTAAACCTTCTAAGAACACAATGAAAGTCGAATCTTCAACACACTTTTTCAACAACGAGATATGAAATACCAGATGTACCGATGCTACATCATTCGGCAATTCAAGCTCATAAGCAACCTTGCCAATAAGCCTCAAAATCTGATATGAGACCACATAATGGGGACCAAACTTTCCTTTCTTTCCAAATCTCATGGCACCCTTCATGGGTTGAAATTTTCAAGTAGACTCAATCATCAACATTAAACTCAAGTTTTCCTCTTCTAACATCGACATAGGACTTTTGTTGACTTTGAGCCATTTTCAACCTTCTGCAAATAAGTCAAACCTTTTCCATAGTCTCATGCACCAACTCAGACCCTATCAAAGTGACCTCACCAACTTCAAACTAGCCAATAGGAGACCTACACCTCCTACCATAAAGAGCCTCAAACGGTACCATCCCAATTCTAGAATGATAACTATTATTATAAGCAAATTCAATTAACGCAAAATAGTCAGCCCAATTACCCTTGAAATCAATCTCACAAGCTGTCAACATATCCTTAAAAGTATGAATGGTACCTTCGGCTTGTCCATCGGTCTGAGGATAAAAAGTCGTGCTAAGTTTCACTTGAGTACAAATACCTTTCTGAAACAACTTCCAAAATTGAGATGTAAACTGAGTACATTAATTGGAGATAATGAGAACGACAATCTATGTAACCTTACCATTTCCTAAATATAAATCTTGGTGTATTCCACTGAAAATGAAGTCTTAACGAGAATAATGTGAGTCTATTTCATTATTTTGTTTACAAAAACTCAAATCAAATCAAATTGTCGATGAGTACGGGATAAGCCCTTAATGAGGTCCATATTCAAATTTTCACACTTCCACGTAGAAATACTAGTGTTTTGAGCCAAGCCACCCAGTTTATGATGCTCAACTTTCACTTGTTGATAATTTGGACACTTAGCCACAAATTCCATAATATCCTTCTTCATCACATTCCAACAATAAACTTTCCGTAAATCACAATACATTTTGGTGGCTCCTGGGTGAATAGAATACCAAGAACTGTGAGCTTCTGCCAGAATTTGATTTTTCAACTCATTGACATTTGAAACACATAACCAACCTTGATATCGAAGGACACCATCTCCCCCCTTGGGAGAAAGCCTCAATGGATTTCTTCCACTTAACTAATATCGGATCAAGATCTTGCTTAGCCTTCACATCCGATACAAAATATGATTACAAACCATTATGATACAACTACTCACCTTCACTAGAATCAACCAAACGAATGCCTAATTGGGCAAACCTATGAACATTACAGACTAACTCTTTCTTTTCATCCTCAACATGAGCAACACTTCACATTGATAGTCGACTAAGAGCATCCGCCACCACATTTGCCTTTTCGAGATGATATATATAGAACACTCATGTCGTAGTCCTTCAACTACTCAAGCCACCTCCTTTGGCGAAGATTCAAATCCTTTTGAGTGAATACATATTTCAAACTTTTGTGGTCAGTGAAAACATCCACATGAATACCATACAAGTATTGTCTCCAAATTGTTAAAGAAAATACTATATCCGCTAACTCCAAGTCGTGAGTCGGATAATTCTTTTCACGCACCTTCAATTTTCTTGAAGCATAAGCGATAACTTTCCCAAGTTGCATCAAAGATTTTAGTTTTTCCCAAAGTTTGACTTCGGTCAACTTTTTTGGTAACACATGCTTGGAATGGGATTCTGTTAGCATGGTTAACTCTGAAATATCGAGTGTGGTCTAGAACAACCTTTGGTTTGATTCTCAAGGGTATTGGGATGAGTTTTTGGCTTTTCGTGTTTTATTGGTGTTTCCTTATAAAGTGTTGAGTTTGGTCATTAATTTTATGAGACGACCTCTGTTAGTTTTTTCATGATTGTATTGAGTCTGAAATGTCTTTTCGAAGTGGTTTGCACTTTTATTTTGCGTTGTTTGGACCCCAAATGAATTTTGAGGGCCCGTTTCAAGTTTGGAATACTTAAGTGAAGGGCACCAGTGGGCGGGGTCGCTTAAGTACTTGGCCAACTGCTTTAAAAGAGGTCCATTTTGCGACCATAGAGCGACTTGAGAGAAAGGCGCTTCTTAGGCGGGGTTCGCATTTTTCGACCCTTTGACGACTTAAGCGATGATCACTTAAGCGACCAAATGGCCTCTTTTATGAAAATCGTTGGGGATTTAAATCCCTTTTCTTCTTCAGTTCTTCAAGGAACGAACCCTGATTGAGTGGAGCTCATCCAAGGGCGATTTTACTCATTTCTTGATCAAATTCAGTGATTCAAATGTAAATTTCTTCCCTCCCTCTTCCTAAACTTGATTTTAGCTTCGTTTTTGCAATTTATTTCCAATTTTTGCCTCTTACTCCTTGATTTCTATATCTTTAAAATAAGGTATTAGACCATTTGTGGTCCGATTTGAACTCCATTTTTACCCATCTTTTGGGCATGTGATCCTCACTCCGAGGAGAACGTAATGATGATTTTTAGTTTCCTAATTCTATAACGTCATTTGAGGGTCAATTTTGATACAATTTTTGGTACATTTTTTATATTATTGATATGTGTATCGTTAGTCCCGTATTGATTTCCTTGTTTTGTTCTTGATAGCTTGACATCATTTTGAGGCTCTTCGAAAGGGAAATACGCCTGAGTAGACGTTGTTCTTGTGTGATTTTTGGCCTTGAGGTAGGTTACGACTTCCTTTTCTTAGACTTGGCTTAATTAGATTAATTGTATTTTGAGTAGTAATGTATGATTAGGTTGGATTTTGGGATTACTTAGGATTATTTGATCCTTAGTCAATTATAGCCATCTATTGGGTTGTTTAGTGTAGTTTAACCGAAAAACCTTAGCTTAGGTTGATCCTTGTGTTTTGTATCGAATAGTATCCTTAGAAATGGCTTAAGATGTCATGAAACTTAGGTTACCGTGTGTTTGCTTGGATTGAATTATTGGTTGGTTATGGTGCTTTTGGGCTTTTATACTCGTTATATTGATTGTTGGGCCCGAGGCTGTTAGCTGGAATCTAGGTTAGTACGTTTGGACTGTGACAGAAATTACCTGATCGAGTATGTGCTTGGTGTGTTGTGATTTGGTGTAAGCTTTGGAATTTTTGATGGCTTTGAATGTGGTTGTTGCGCTTGAGTACTCATTGTTCAAAAAGACTTTTTTGATAAGTTTAAGATATCATTTTGGGTGGCCCGTCGACATATATCCGAGTTATTGGTACTTTACTGTTAAGTTGGTGCTACTCATTTCTTTTATTCAGTCTCTATTTCCGCTTGTTCTTATTAATTATGTCTATTTAAACTGTTATCTTCCACATCTCATGTTTGGATTTAGGCTTGAGGCGACAAGCATGCATCATTATTATTCGATTTCGGATTTTGACATATAGTCAAAAAAGAAAAGTACTTGTTGTTCATGCTTCCTAGTTTTTTTTTTCCAGCTTCTAGTGAATAAATTCAACGTATAGACTCAAACCACAGTAGTGGATATATACAAAACATATGTACAAACAATGGAGCTAATATCATCAGTAGGAGCAACTAGTGATGGTATGGCGAAGTTGTTTGAATTCTATTTTTTCTCTTTTGTAGAAATCTTTGTAGCGATTTATTCATGAAATGACCAGTTTGAGTTTGTAATAATGGTGATGAAGGCTCAGACATCTTATTTGTTTTCTCCTCCATTTCTCTACTTGCACGATATATTATAGCTTTAGCCTGCATTTAGAAATCAATTATATATTAACAAAACAAGTCATTTATTAATTGTTATCAGAAAATAAAAACTGGAAATACATATACCTGAAGCTGAGTAACATGAGAAACAACAAATTGTCCATTGTAAAATATTGTTAGCTGTTGTGATTGCTCATTCTCTAATTGTTGATCCTCCCTAATAGTAAATAGTAAATATAAAACAAATATATAATCAATACCTTATTATTAGAAGGACTAATCACTAATCAATACAGATTAATTGTGAGAGTAATTAAACATGAGAGAGACTTACATTAAGAAGTTGCTAGGAGAAAGAGAGAGTTCCAAATTACACTTTCTTCTCATTTTCTTCAATTAAAAAATATGGGATTGAAATTGAATGGAGTTTTTTTCAATATATCTTTTGTATATAAGAACAATATAAGAGAATTAATGAAAGATGAAAGGGGAGTTTGTTTTGAATGAATATATATAACATTGTTTTCTTGGGAAGTGGGCCTGGCCTGCAGGTTGAAAGTAAAAGCCACATTTTTTATATTATATTTATTGAGTATATTAGTTGATAAAATAGAACACGAAACGCACACTTGTAAAGATGACGAAAATCGACATACGCCAACTTTCTCCAGCCTTTTTTTTTTGTCAAAAAAAAACAGTGATGTATGGACCATGCACCCACGTGTTTCAGTCGGCCTTATTATTAGAGCCATGAAAATGGGCTCCATGGGGACGGTCCAACCCTACCCGTTATTGGGGTAGGGTTGGAATAAGATTTTTCAAGCCCATTTAAAATTAAGGCTTATAGGCTCAGTTCATATAAGTCATTGACCCTTGAGGCTTGATCAGGGCTGGGCCGAGGTCGGCCCATGGGCCAATTTTTTTTTTATTTAAGAGTAATTTACAATAATCTCACTAGTATATAATCAAATTATTTGAATACACACTATGTTATAATATTATGAATCTTCGTACCTAGATACACTTTATCCAAGTATATTGGCATGTATCTAAGATACATATACAAATCTCACACCCTCGCCTCCATCCCATCTTGCTTGTCACTCTCTTATCTCACTCATGTATCTGGTATGCGAAATACATGCAGGGCTCCTAGCGGGCCCTCTGAAACTTGAGGGCTGGCGCCCCGTGCCTCTCAGAGCGCCAAGGACGCCAGTCTTCCTCATTCCTTCCCCACTTTTTCATACATGTTCCTTGATAATGTACCTATGTTTTATAGTTGTTTTCAACACTCTAAGGTACATCTACACATCCCGAACTCATACATAAACCATGAGATTTTTACCCTTTCATTCATAACCCAATTCGAGAAAAGTTCGGATCAAAGTCAAGTGAAGTTAGAGTCAAGTCTAGAAGTTAAGAAGCAAGTCAAAGCAAGTCTTCAAAGTTTTTCAAGAGTCTTTCTTGAACGTTTTAACTTCATTTAAATGCTCAAGTTTCAAGTTGAGTAAAGAGTATAGAGTTGAGTTCATTTCTCAAAAGTATTAGGGAACTAAGTTTTCCCAAAGAAGTTTTAAAATGTTTTCACATTTGAGTAAGAAAGGAACTATGATTCCAAAAGAGCCTTTGGGCTAGTTTTCAAGAAAAGGGAACATCGACTCCAAGTGAGCCTTTGGGCTAGATTTTGAGCAATTATCTCAAACTAAAGAAAGATGTGTTTAAAACACTTATGAGATAAAGCATTTTGGGAGTATTATTGAGCACCAAATTGGGGATGCGAGTTCATATTAACTCAACTCTCCATAAGAACCATGTAGCCAAACATGGGAATTAACGGGTCATTCTTTTTAGATGATCACGTAAGATTAAGCTAGTGGATCCACTAAGTTAAGTAAGGTCCTATATCACGACAAGGTATAGGATGGTCCTTGGGCAACGTGAGGTAAAACGTTGTATCATCACTAGGGCTCATAGTGGTGGTTGTCGGTTAAAGAATCTCCCACTAAAGTTATATTACTTTTATATAAGTAAAGTTGAGTTTGTTATTGTTTTATCCTTAATGAACTAAGGTGTTTGCATTGTTTTACAAGCTTTATATATATTGCATGTGTCTTATTTCTTTATATTGAGTTTGGTTATTCATGAGTCGAGCAGAGCCAAGGTAAGAGTTCCTTTGTATTCCTTCCAAGCTTAAGTTGTTGTTTAGCTTTCCAGCTCGCATACTCGTACATTCAATGTACTGATGCCAGTTGGCCTGCATCTTATGATGATGCAGATGCAGGTACCCAGGATCAACATCCAGCACGCCGTTGATCCAACTGAGCACTCCAGAGTCACTGGTGAGCCTCTTTGCATTCCGGACGACTCGGTTATTTTTGTTCTCTTAGTTTTGCTTTATTAGGATGTTGCGGGGTCTGTCCCAACATCCATCTCAGTGTTATAGATGCTTCATAGATAGTCAGTTAGTTAATAATGAGTCTCTCTTCTATGTATATATATAATATTCTATCTTGAGACTCGAGTTGCCTTTTTGGCCAGATTTTATCAGTTGGGTTGTTTTATGACCTTTCATTGCATTGGGTTATTCTATTGAGTTAGGTTTCTGCTGAGTTAAGAAAGCCAGGCCAAGGGTTCCCTTGGGGCCAGCAATGGTCTCCGAGTGCTAGTCCCGCCCAGGGTGTAAGCTCGGGGCGTGACAGAATGTTGTAAAAAAAATGCTGCTTTGGAGTTGAGGCAACTTGAATTTCATTCAAAACACTTTTCTGTAAATTCTGAACTAATGGATGAGTGTATAGATGAGGAATAAGTCCCCTATATCTTAAAGTTTTTTAGTCCACGTAGACTAAACGACATTCCTCACCTAAGGGCCAAGAAGTGCAAGATGCAACATATATTACTTGGTTCTTTTATCTTTATACCACCACCCCTTGAGAGGAGCAGAAAAATAGATGTAACGTTAGGGGTACAATTCATAAGTTCAAAGTAGAAAGAAAAGAGGTGAACTTACTTGTGTCGTGTCGTGACGTTAAATTAGGCACTTATTGGGAGGCAACCCAATTTACGGTGTAACTTTCTTTTTTTTTTTAGTGTAATTTTTTTGTGTTGTTTTTACAGGTTTTGGAGAAGTCTGAGTATCCAAAATTTGGAGCTAAGGAGCATGTTTAAGCTTAAGAATGGGGTGACGACCCTTGATGAAAATTAAGAGAACATGCTACTAGCTAGGCCTAAAGGCCTCAAGGAGTTTTTCTAACCCTTGTTTTAAATTTTATTTGATGCTTTGGGGACATAGCATTTTTTTAAGTGTGGGGTGGAAGAATAAATTTCTAGTTTTTATTGTTTTATTGAGTCTTTTATTTTTTTTAGGATGGGTTCCTTGACTTTTATTTTCGGTTCTTTTCCTAAGGATAGTCCCTTTGAACCGATTGTCTTTTATTTTCTTAGGAATAAATTTTCTTTTAATTTTTTTTGAGAGAAAAGAAAAGACCCTTTTGAGTGGTGTGATACTTGCTATTTAGGTCTAATTTTTTAATAGTATTTTCTTTTAAATGCTTGATTAATAAAAAAAAATGCAGACTCTTTGACACCTAAGCTCATGATTGTGACTTTGTGTTTAGATTATTTTATTTTTGTAGTTTGTTATGATCCCGTCTCTCTTAGAAGTGGAATTGATCCATCTTGATTGATACTTGTTCCATGTGTGGTGAGAATTTGTTTATTCCAAGTTTTGCATCCTAGTCTAGAACTTTCTCTGCATGTTATTGAAGCGAAATAAAAAGTGTTGTTTTGTTTAGGAGATGATAATAGACTGTAACACCCCGTATCTGAAAATAGAGATTTCAGATTTCTGGTGTTACAGGTGGCACTCACGGACACCATCCACGGACCGTAGATGGACTCACGGTCCGTCCTGCAGGTCCGTGGTTCGTGACAGAAAACTTCCCCAGAACTCAGTCAGAAAATTTGGCTAAGTGTTGACCCACGGCCGGACTTACGGTCCGTAAGTCAGGTCACGGACCGTAGTTCGTGTCCGTGGATCGATGCCCCAAAAGCCCAGCTTCAGTCCCGAACTACGGTTGACCAGCACGGACCGTCATTCGATCCACGGTCCGTAGGTCTGACCGTAGATCGAAGGTTAGCAGCCAGTTAGCTAAAAATTCTGATGGGTCAACTTCAGATGGTCATAACTTTTAGTACAAAATTAATTATGTGTCCCATGACCTATGGTTAGATAGATAATTGAATTATCTTTCCAACGCCATCGAGTTTGCTAAATTCCGACCTCCGAGTAAAACGTTATGCCTGTTTTAGTGAAGACCTGTCGGGCAGACTCGACCTACGGACCCAATCGACGGACCGTCGATTGATTGACGGACCGTCAGTCAGGTCCGTCAGTCACTCCGACAGCAGCTAATTTAAGGGTCTTTTGGTCTTTTCCTATTTCGTTTAACCCCTAAGGTACGTCGTTTAGACCCTAAATCATGAGGTTTTAATTAGTTTAAGCCTAGAAACATAACTAGAACTTACCTAAGTCAAATCATTAATCAAACTTAGAAGAATTAGAACGCAAAAAGGAGAAAAGAGGTCAAGAACCCTAGTTCAAGAACGCAACAAGGTTCCATCAGTTCCAACCCCGAAATCGAAAGATTTCTCCGTGGAATTCATCGTCAGGTATGTGGGATTTCACTAGTGGGTTCCTTTCGCCCATTAGGTCCCTAGAATTCAGTCAGATTCTTGATTCCATGATTATGAACAGACCTAGGGTTTCTAGAATTATAGCAGATCATCATGAATTAGTTATTTAAATGTTCCAAATCAGATTATCATGTTATTGCTCAGTTTATCGCATGAATTTCAGAACCCTAGCTATCTATTTCTTTAGTTCTTGAATTACACATGCTAGGTCAGATATTTCAGTATTCAGTTTTACATGCCTCAGTTTATGAATGCATCATTATCAGATTAATTGTTGCATTCTCAGTTTGCATGTTCAGTTCGAGCTTTCCAGTATTTACAGAAAACTCAGTCATAATGTGTTAACCATTTAATCTATTGGGAGTAGCATAATACCGAGTTGGACTAGGGTTTCAGCGTACCCATATAGTCCCAGAACTACGAGCCACGTAGGTGTAAGTCCCCTATGTGGGCAACATCAGTTTAGTGATCACACCAGCATGCCTTTAGACCTCTGGCAGGGTATATTGGGTCTTCTCGATGGGGCGTATACATCGGACTCCACATTTAGCTCATGTGGTTTTATGTCGGTTATTAGTAGCTCCCACAGTTCAGTCAGACTCTATTGCATTGACCATATTTCAGTACAGTCAGTATTCAGTCTCAACATGTTATAAATTTGGTCATTGCATTCAGTTAGCTCAGTATTCAGTATT